CCTTTTTAAAAAAAATATCTTTATTGGAGTATAATTGCTTTTCAACGTTGTGTTAGTTTCTGCTGTACAACAAAGTGAATCAGCTATATGTATACATATATCCCCATATCCCCTCCCTCTTGAGCCTCCCTCCTACCCTCCCTAACCCATCCCTCTAGGTCGTCACAAAGCATTGAGCTGATCTCCCTGTGCTATGTAGCCGCTTCCCACTAGCCATCCATTTTACATTTGGTAGTGTGTATGTGTCCATGCCACTCTCTCACTTCGTCCCAGCTTCCCCTTCCCCCGCTGTGTCCTCAAGTCCGTTCTCTACGTCTATGTCTTTACTCCTGTGCTGCCACTAGGTTCATCAGTACCCTTTTTTTTTAGATTTCATGTATGTGCATTAGCACACCATTATTTATTTTTCTCTTTCTGACTTACTTCACTCTCTATGACAGATTCTAGGTCCATCCACCTCATTACAAATAACTCAGTTTTGTTCCTTTTTATGGCTGAGTAATATTCCACTATATATATGTGCCACATCTTCTTTTTCCATTCATCTGTTGATGGAAATTTAGGTTGCTTCACCTGGCTATTGTAAATAGTGCTGCAGTGAACATTGGGGTGCATGTATCATTTTGAATTACAGCTTTCTCAGGGTATATGTCCAGTAGTGGGATTACTGGGTCATATGGTAGTTCTATTTTTAATTTTTTAAGGAACCTCCATACTATTCACCATAGTGGCTGTATCAATTTACATCCCCACCAACAACACAGGAGGGTTTCCTTTTCTCCACACCCTCTCCAGCATTTACTGTTTGTAGATTTTTTGATGATGGCCATTCTGACCCGTGTGAGGTGATACCTCATTGTGGTTCTGATTTGCATTTCTCTAATGATTAGTGATGTTGAGCGTCTTTTCATGTGTTTGTTGGCCATCTGTACGTCTACTTCGTAGAAAAGTCTATTTAGGTCTTCCGCCCATTTTTGGATTGGGTTGTTTTTTTGATATTGAGATGCATGAGCTACTTGTATATTCTGGAAATTAAACCTTTGTCACTTGCTTTGTTTGCAAATATTTTCTCCCATTCTGAGGGTTGTCTTTTCGTCTTGTTTATGGTTTCCGCTTCATTCCCTTTTATGGCTACACAATATTTTGTTTCTCCATTCATCAGTTGATGGATATTTGGGTGTTTCCACAATAATGCTGCTACAAGCATTCACAAACACATTTTTATTAAACACTTGTTTTCAATTATCTTGGGTATACACGTAGGAGTGGAACTGCTAGGACACATAACTCTACATTTAAACGTTTTGAGGAACTGACAGACTGTTTTCCAAAGTAGTTGACCCCCATTTACATTTCTATAGCAATGTACTGAGGGTTCCAATTTCTCCACTTTTCCATCAAGACTTATTTTCTGTTATGTTACTGTTTTGTTTTTTCATGATAACAGCTTCATTACATTGTTGGTTGTTTTTTCTTTTCTTCTCTTGGAACAGCTACCTGGGTGTTCCAGTAACCCTGCAACCCCCTCCTGGCATCTCAGCTAAGAGTGCCTGTCTCGGTTCTGCCTGGAAACACAGCACGTACTGGCTGCTGCTGCTGAGATCCCCTCAGGTACAGCTGACTCTCCTGGTGGCTCAGTGAGGCTGTCCTACATCTGACGTGGACGTCCACCTCTGGAACATGCTGTCCTGTAGCCCATCTCAGGAGTAAGCACTCCCTGACTCACTCCATCGTGCCACTGGCCTCACCCCTCTGCCACTGCTGATTTTAATTACAGTCTTCCTAGTGGGTGTGATGTGGCATTACACTTTGGTTTTGATTTGCACTTCCCTAACGACTAATGATGCGGAGCACTTAATCATGGGCTTTCTGGCCATTCGTATATCTTTTTGGGAGAAATGGCTATTTGAATTCTTTGCCCGTTTTTAAATTGAGTTATCTCTCTGTTGTTGAGCTGTAAGGGTTCTTTATATATTCTGGACACTATACCTTTATCAGATAAATGATTTGCAAATATTTTCTCCCCTTCTGTGGGTTGTCCTCTCACTTGCTTACCAGTGTCCTTTCACTCACAGAAGCTTTTACCTTCGAAGTCCATTTTCTTTTTTTCCTTGGTTTCTTCTATTTTCTCTGTTCTGACACATATTTATTGAGCATCTTTTAAATGAATGACTGTGACCTTGGGCAGGTTACTGATCTTTTCTGAGCTACAAGTTCCTGGTTGCTCTTGAAAAATGCTAGCTGTTATTATCTGCAAGATGAAGGATGGTAAAGTAATGTTTGTAAGTGCTCTCGAGTCTGCAGACCATAATGATACTCACCAAGTGGTAAAAGGAGTGGGTGAGCAGTAGAATAATGTGTTTGTTTTGAAAGCAGCATGTTACTGACAATGTTCATGTCTGAAAGTGAGGAGTAACTGGTGGGGTGAGCTGAAACGGTGACAAAAGCTCTTCTTTCCTGCGCCCTCTATTCTTCCGCTGTAGCAGCTGTATCCCTGCTGAGGTACTATGAGTACACGAGAGATTACTGGAGCAAATTCATTCTTGAGCTCCACCTGACTACTATGTATTGAAAATCATTTTGGGAACTGGAGTAAGTTCTCAGAATATGAAATATCTCTTTTTAACTCTAAGTAGAGGATGCTTTACAGGTCCACTACACATCTATAAAGAGTCTGGAGAGACTGACTGAAGTAGGAAAGAATAAGAGTAGTCCTCAGAAGAAAGGTACACTGGTTTCTCGCTGTGATGGCATCCTTGCGGCTCAACCTGGGGCAGCTGGGGTTGAATTACATTATAACCCAGTTCTACTACTGGATGTCTTTGAATCTCTCTCCCTGCAAGGAAGTTCTCAGCGTGTAGAGTTGCCTTCTGCTGATCTTTCTCTGCCCTAGGGTAGATGCTTCTACCAGATTCCAGTGCCCAAATGCCAGCCATCCTCCAAGTCCAACTCCAAGTGCCACAACCTCCTTTAAGGAGCCCTCTGTCGTCTCCGTCGCCAGAAGTCTCTCCTCCTCTTGATGCCCTGTGTTATCAGTCACTTTCCAGCCCCATTATGATTACTGATGGACCTGACTCACTCCCTATACCAGACAGTTAACTCCCATAGGCAGAAGCCTTGTTTTACCTCTGAACCCCAGAACCTAGAAAAGTACCTGCCTCTGTTAAGAGAGTAATAAATATTTGTGGGAAGGGAAAAAGCCAAGAATCAAGGGAGGATGCTCTTCTTTTCACCTTTACCAACAAAGGTTAATATATCTCTAGTTTACAAAACATCTTTTTTGGAAAACTCATGTTTGTGTAGGTTAAATCTTCCTCTATGACTTAGAGATTTTTGAAATTGAAAGAAACTTCTAAAATCAGGTGAAATCAGACTTGCTGCTCTAGTGTTGTAGTAATTGAGAAGACAAAGAGATTCACTTATTTCTGTAAAAGTTTCAAAGAATGATCTGTTTCTAGGAAAACTGAAACTGATGAAAGATGAAAAATTCCACCCTAAACTAAAATCAGGGACCACCACCACACATTTCAAAGTGTCACAAGCACCTGCTATACTATGAAGGCAAAGGTTAGTCCAGGTCGTCAGTATAAGGCTTCCACAAGCAAAATTATAAATGTGAAAATATTTCTACTTCACTATAATTACTTTTATACATATCTGAAAGTTGTATACAAGGCGGAATTTACTTTGAAAAGAGGAAAAAAGTAAAATCAAAGTTATGTAAATAACAAGTCGATCATTAAAAGTTTGATCTTCCTGAAGAGAAACAATCCTGTATAATAAAATATGTGAATGAATGATTTTTAGTGCCACTCAGAACCATCCCAGCAGCAAACAGGCACAGTGCAGCAGGCACTGGGTGAGGCAGTCCCTATGCATTATCTCACTTAATTCTCACATCTTTGCAAAACCCAAGGTGGGTCTACTATGAACCTTAACCCCACCTGACAGATGAGGATACTGAGGTTTAGAGATGCACCTGACAAAGGTCACATGGTTACCCGGTCTCAGAGCCAGGATTTGAACTCGTCTATCTACCTGACTCAAGCCTGGTGCTTTTCCCATCACATTAATGCTAGCCCCCTTGAATGTTGCCATTCACCATGAAGATCCTCCTAGATACAACATTATCAAAAAGAATTAAGAGAGATGACCAAAGGAGATGATAAATTTTAACTTTTTGGAGAGTAAGCATTTTACCTAGTGCTAATGACCTTTACAGTACTCTACTTATAAATAACTACGAGAGCTGTCTGGACCACTTTGGAAAGTCCTTGCACTCTATTCTCTGTAACTTCCACTGATTCAATACAGACTTGAATGGTAATCGGCACATTTTCAGACAAAAACTGTACAATAAAACCAATGAAAGCTAACCCAGTAAAGTGAGCAAGAAGTAAAATAAGCAAATGTGGTGACACAGAAGGTCAAACGTAATAAAAAGGTAGCCCTGCGACACAGGCAATAATGGTGCCGGTGTAGAACAATGGACGTCTCTCAAAATATACCAGCAACTACACAGGCATCCAAGTATAAATACCAAGTATCGCTAATGTCCAAAGTATTTAATTTCACTTAACTTGGATGATGAAAAAAACAAAAGAAAAACAATCCCAAGTAGGAATATGTGGTACAAATGACCCAATAATAGGTAAAATGCCAAGTAAGCGGGGGAGGGAGTTCCTAGAAAGGCCTCTTTAGTGACAAAATGACAGTCAAGCGCATTTGTGACAACAGCTCCACAGGCTGTCAAGGCCAAAGTTAGCATTTGTAAGACAGTATTTAGAGGAGCCAAACAGTTACACTAATTTGAGTTAACGATTTATAGAAAATGCTGAAGATGGAAGACAAAACCATTTCTTATCGTTTGGCCGTGGAAGGTCATTATACAACTCTATACAGGGACCAAATGAAGACCAGAAAGGAAAGAATTAAGAAAACCAACGAAGTGAAGGGGACCTTACTTGGGCTAATAATCATGACTGCAATAGTCCACTTACTTGCACTGTGCGTGATAATACTTTATCAGATTCTGCAGCAGATCCACACCCTTTTTGGTCTTGATTTCATTAACTTTAATGAGATACTGCGGAAATAAAACAGAATTGTGCGTTGATCAGATTACCAGTCGTTAATCAGTGTGAGTTACTGAGGCTCAGCTGCCGCCAGACAGTATGAGCTTAATTTAGGGAATGCTAATTTGACACAGTCACAAGTGTACCAAGCAAACTGATCAGCGTGTTAGCATTTTACAGATGCTTAAGATTAGTTTACTAGACAAGCAGAAATCAAGCACAGCAAAACATTCTGGAATAATTGATTATCTCCCCCCAGTGTGCAGTGGATCTCAAACTCATAGTTCACGTGGTCAAAACCTGAAAGATGGATTGAAAGACAGATGGCATTCTCTTTAAGGGATATGCTTGTAAGATACTAAAACTTCCAGACCAAAGAGGTGAATTGGAAAGTACTTTTGCTACTAAAAAGTGAAAGAAAAAAAAAAAAAGCATTATTAGTTTATGCACTAAACACTACTGGCTCTGATTTTCACAACTGGCCAAGGTTTTCTGTTGATATTGTGTGTTTCTTTTTTTTTTTTTTTCTTCGGTCCGGGGGCCTCTCACTGTTGTGGCCTCTCCCGTCGCGGAGCACAGGCTCCGGACACGCAGGCTCAGCGGCCATGGCTCCCGGGCCCAGCCGCTCCGCGGCATGTGGGATCTTCCCGGACCGGGGCACGAACCCGTGTCCCCTGCATCGGCAGGCGGACTCTCAACCACTGCACCACCAGGGAAGCCCTGATATTGTTTGTTTCTTGTTAACTTGTTTTACTGCATGGAAGTGTTCACAAACAGACAAGTTCAAGGAGCCAAAGGGTAATAATGGGGGGGGGGCGGGAAATAAAGAAAAATAAATTAGGGAAGAAAAACTTGAAACTGAGAAAATTCTATCCCCTTTAGTATCTTCTGAAAACTGTAAAAGGAATTCCATTACTCAGCATCAGAATGGGTTGGTCTCTAGGTCAAGGAATGCCAATGGGAACCCCGTTTGAGAACCACTGCTCGAAGTCTAAGGCAACATGCTTTTTGTTGCATTTATTTTTTTCATGAGCTCAGACTTTAATCACTACTTCAAGTTTTCATTCAAACTTGGACACATGGTTAAAAAAAAAAGCAACATGCTGTACATCTGTACCAGTAAAACTTAATATTCACCAGTGTTACCCCTCACCAAAATTGTTTTTCCACACTCACTCACAAGCAATAGCAAAGTTCTCACCAAAGAATCCTGTTTTGGCTTAAAGAGCCCCATAGGACCCAGGCTCAAAATATGAGACAACAGTGAAACGGCGGATCTCAAAAGGCTTGGAGAAAAGTGGAGATTTAGAGTCCTTGAGAAACAGTCCCCTCCTCTAATCATCAAACACAGCCTGCATTTAAGCATAAAGACTGCTGACTAGCAGGAAGGATGACAGTTAATCAAACTCTAGGCAAAGGGCTGAAAAGTCTGCTCTTACTTCGCACATCTGGAGCTGAAAGAGGCGCCTCTCCTTCTCCATCTCTTCCGCGATCTCAGCTCCGGTGATCTCCGTGCGGATCATCCCGTGCTGTTTGGCGTGCTCCCTTTTCTCCTTCTCAATTTTTGTACTGTAATGAACGCAGGTGCAATCATTAAAAACAAAAACACCACACTCAGGTCCTTCCTTTAATGGGAGCCACTTGATTATTTCTTAATTACCAGAGTTAGGAGGCAGGAACTCTTAAATGGATAGCATCGATCAAAAGTGAAAATCGAAGTTCAAGGAGAACCAACACATTGCATGGATCTTCACCAAGGAGACTTCCTACATTTTAACTCTGACCTCCCAGATGAATGGATTCATATAAATGCTCTTATATTTTGGTTGGCATCAAGTAATTTTGACAGTTTACTTTTTCTAGAGTGAGGCACCTTACGATGAAAAAGAATCAGAAAGGTTGGAGGCCTGAGGCATATCTTGATTATCAACAGATTGAGATTTAAGAGTTAATTCAAGACAAAGTATATAATGGGTCTTTGTAGGCATGCACGTAAATTAGTCAAAAGTAATTTCTAATATTTCTCTAAACTTAGGCTGTTTTCATACCGCAGTAACGTTTTAATCATTCAACCACCTGGCACTGGACTGTACAAAATAAGGATTTAGAAGAAATCCTAATCTATAATTTGGAATGCTATGAAAATGTTCTTCAGCTGGGAAGCAACCAGGGAAATAAGAGGGAGGGACCACATTAAACCTATGGTACCCGAGGCTAATGCTTGGCTATGACAGATGATACTTTGGTATTAACACCAGGGGTCACAGCCCTTTTTCTGAAAATCCATTTAATTTGAAAGCAGACTTCTAATTTCAGAAAGAGCCTATAATTTCTAGTTGTGAAAGCAAAGACTGATTTAGCCTTCAAGTCTTCTTTTAAATTGTGGGGTAGGATATCAAACCCCAAAGAAAGCCAATATCCTTGTCTACATACAAACACAGTGGAAAATCAAGCCATCGACCCAGTGGAAAACCTACAGACCTGGCTGGGATTCACTGTAATACCCTCGTGCCATACCTAAGCAACTCTTTTCATCACACCACCTTGGAGGTTAAATGGGTGTGAAGGCAGGGATTTTACCACAAGGAGAATAAACCTCAGCTCTCTCTCCACTGGTGTGGGTGGGAAGAAAGCAGGAAGCTACAGACTCTTGAGAAGAAACATGACGGGCGGGCATAACTTAGTCCTGAATTTGTTTTTCTTTGGCTTGTGTTTTCACTCTGCTTTTATTGCTGCCTACGGAAATGCTTTTATTCTCTCATGTTTGTACTTATCCAAGTTTATAGCTAAGACTTTTATTAAATGTTTTTAAATACATTTCTCCTCCCACCCCACTCCACAGCCTGGTTACAAATGCCTCAGAGCAATAATCACAAAGGGATGTGGTAGGACTGGTACCGCACGAGGATGAGTCAGGCCCACGACAAGACCTCACGTGCGGCTTCCCCGTCATCCCGCACGATAACCCCAGCACGCGGGCCTCTGACTGCCGTCACGCCACACGGCTCCGGCTCTGGGGTTACACAGACCGGAGGGGACACCAGCCCGACATTTATTAGCCTTAGGACCTTCTGCAGGCCCCTCAGCCTTTCTAAGCTTCAGTTTCCTAAGCCATAAACAGACAGTGCAAGGTGCACACAGAGAGGGTTGCTGTGAGGAGGTCATCCATGTAAAGCACTTTGCACAGGCCCTGGTGGGCAGACAGATGTCACAAACACTGGGTATTATTTGTACTGCCCAGTTGCCGTGCTATCCTGAAATGTGTAAATGGTCTCCAGTTATGTGCTAACTATAACGAAAGAAAAGTTGCAACAGTCACAGACCTACAACTTGACAGTTCGTATCAGCCATGGATGCCCAAATACCCGACAGTGAAAGTACATCTCGCTCCAGACACAACTAGCACGGGAGGTGTCAGCACTTCTAATCAGGTCAGAACACCCAGCCTCTCAGCCCTTACGAGGATGGACTCAACAGTGTTTTGTCCCAAAGCTATTAGTTCAGGGCTCTGTCCTTCTTGTAGTTATTCTTTTTCTTAGAATACTCACAACAAATAAACCAAGCAACCAAACAAACAAAAAAAAACACTTACAACTTTGTCTCATAATCTTTCCAAGCTTTGTCAAATGGCTTCTTGAGATCCTTAAAAAAGAGAAAATAAAACTGAGATTGAAAGTACTTTTGCTTAAAGGTGTATAATCTTCCAGTAACATCTTAGCAGAAATGCTCTCCTTTATAGGACACTCAAAACTTCACACAGGACACTTTCAGGCACATCACACAACTCATTACACCCGAGAAGCTAAGAGAGTGGGACGGTGTGCGTTTCCGGTCACGACGATGAGGCAGGACACAGTGGTTCTGAGAGGTGGGTCCACGGGTCCTCCAGGGGGCAGCCCAGACTCAGCGAAGACGCCCCCCGCCGCCCCGGTCTTCCTGAGTGTCTCATTTTGTCTCTCGGGCAATAGCGCCATGTGAAGCGGTGTGTTTTTTTCTAATGATCATTTTCCAACAGCATTTTTTATGCTGAAAACGTTCAGAGTGCCTTTCAGACATGAGTACCACTGGGATCTTAGAAGAGAAAGAAGGCAACCTTTTCAAGCTAAACTGAAAATCAAATTTCTCAACACTCACTCCTTTGACTCCCTTTAGGTCTCCTTTCAACAAGGAATCCAAGGTGAAGATCACGTTGTGGCTCAGGCCCTGGAGCTGAAAAGCAAACAAAGACGGGAGACGGTGAGAAAAAGAAGGTGCACGTGGGACAGCAAAACCGGCCGATGCCGACTGAGCACGGTCACCCCGCTCACACATAAGATTGGTGAAACGAGGGCAGAGACAGCGACGGTCCTGCTCACAACTGTATCCTCGGTGCCAAGTTCTGTTAAAAGGAAAGCTATTTAGGAAGTGCAATCTACAGCTGGAGCAGGGGTTTTTTTCCCCACTGTTCCAGGGCGGTGGCCTGGGTCTCCTTGATTTTAGGGTGGTGCGAAGAGCAGTCTACAGAGAGAGGGGGAAGGAATGTACCCAGCTGGGGAGCAGGGTGGCAAGGAAACCAAGGGAGGGACGGGCCAGTGTGGAAAGAGTCAGGAGAACAAGGGCTGAGAAGCACTATACAGTCCGTCTTCAGGGGGAGCCCTGGCATCTTGGTGAAACCAGTTCCAGCAGCGTGGAACTGAGACCGCAGGGACCCGCAGCACCGGTTACAGATGGAGAGGCTGGCGGGTCCCCTCATTCGAGAGGGAATTTTACTCATGTGTGAGCGTATTCATTTATCAGGCCGCCCACCCGTCCAACCACCCTTCCATCGCTCATTTACGAAGTACCTATTCTGTGACACCTGCTACGCCAGGGCCTGGGACGGGGGTGCGATGATGTACACAACATGGCCTGCCTACAGAGGGCTGGCGACCCAAGGGCAGACGCAGTCAGTACGCAACCAGCTCTACCGCATGATGAGGTCAGGCAGAGGGAGAAGGTGGTGTGAAAGGAAGCAGCGCTGACACTTACAGGCTCTGTGTGTGACCCTCTTAACCACCGCTCTAAAGCGAGGCTACCAGAACCTGTCATGGGTGGCTGCTGTGAAGATGCAATAAGTTAATGCACGGGGAAAGTGCTGGTGTGCTCCCTGACACCTGGGAAGTGTTTATTACCTTAAAAATCCTACGGGATGTTAAATTTGAATAAGGCAATGTGGGAGCAGAGGGGCAGGGCGGGGAAACCTTCCCTCCAGCCCTGAACTCCTCCCTGGCCCTGACCCGTGGTTCTCATCCGAGGCTTCCTGCAGCTCCAAGTCACTCCACGTCTTGCCCTCCCTGACCACCAATGTGACACACGAGGGCAGTTTTCCAACGCACACCACCAGACGACTCGGGTCAGAAACAACCATCTCTTTCTTTTTTATTTCAGACAAAGAGATTCCTACCAAGACATTCCATCTTTGTAATCTCACCACCACCCATGCAGAGAAACAGTCAGGCTGGCAGGCCGGCCAGCAGTGAGAGGGCCGTGATGCACAGCCTACGTTCTGGGAGGTCGAGGGCACTGGGTCTTAGGGTGTGGGGTGAAAATAATATCAATAACATTAATATTTAATTATAAATAATAATCAAACATTATATTTAATTAATAACAGTAATATAATACATAATTTATAATTACATTATTAATTATTGACAATATAATTATACAATAGCTATAATATTTAATTAATAATAATAAATATGATTACTGACAACGGTTTGTGGCTTTCCAAAGGGTCACAGTATGTAAACTGATATAGAGAATATCTGTGGTATTAAAATTTCACGGAGAAAGTTATTAGGAAAAGACTATCTTTTTTTTTTTTTTTTTTTTTTTTGCGGTACGCGGGGCCCTCCACGCTGGGACCCCCGGGCCCAGCCGCTCCGCGGCATGTGGGATCTTCCCGGACCGGGGCACGAACCCGTGTCCCCTTGCATCAGCAGGCGGACTCTCAACCGCTGCGCCACCAGGGAAGCCCAAAGACTATCTTTTAAAAAGCTCCTCGGGGTGGGAGTCTGCAGGTAGTAATAATAAAAGAAAAGGTTGAAAAACACTGGCTTTGGGTATGAGATGGGAAAAACAAAGATTAACAGGACTCATTCTCCGCCCCAGACAGACAGTGGGAATAACATCTTGCTCTGAGTCCTCAACAGTCTCATTCCTGGGTCACAAGCCCCCTGCATCCTGCTACCCTGTGGGTCTTGGGCGTTTGCGTGGATGGTGGTAAGTGAGGCAGGGATCTCCACTCATCAAGCCAGAACCTACCTTTCCTCTATTCGTGGAGATCTTGCATTTTCATCTCAACACTTACCGCCCTTAACCCTTTATCTGTATCTGTTTCCTTAACCCTTTATCTGTATCTGTTTCCTTATTTGTTTGCTGTGTTCCCAATTTGAATGCAAGCTCTTTGAGACTGGGGTCTCTAAGTTCACTGCTATGTTTCCAGAATTTAGAACACTGCATAGCACAGAGTAGGTACTCAATAAATATCTGTAGAATGAAGGACACACAAAGTCGCATGTGTGTATAAGGGTCTTCTCTACAGGAATGTTTATACTGATGCTAAGTTTAGTGCTTATCAGTAGGTGACCAGTTAATAAGTTATGGAAGTTCTACACAATTGCCATAAAAACGAGAAAGCTTTTTATGTCTAACTTTGGAAATATCTCCAAGATAAACTGTTTTGTGATAAAAGCAAAGTGAAAAACAGTATTCACGGTGTACAAGGATTTGTATAAAAAGAGGAAAAAAATATGTCCATATGCTTAAATTCTTTCCGAGAGGATACAGACTAAACTGCTGATATTGGTCCCCGCCAGGGATGGACACGGGGTAGGGCAAGGACACAGGGTGGGAGAGGAGCCTTGTACTGTGCACCTTCTGCATTTTTGGGGGGGGGGGGAGGGTAACATGTACTACACTGTGTATTCAAAAAAAGTAAAAATTCTAAAACAAAACATGAAGAGACAGTGATCATAAATCATTTTTAACTATTAGTCCTAAATCAAGGCTTTCCCCAATGTCTCTCATCCTTCAGGAAACGAAGCAGGAAAAAACAAAAAATACATAAACGTCATTGCCACCTTGGCCTGAAGGCTGTGTTACAAAGTAACAATAAAGGAATCGTGAAAGTCTGTGGTCTGTACTCAATGTGGGGGTTATTGGGAAGGAAAAGTCCCTCAAAAACCACGTACTGACCACACAACGAACACACGGCATCACCTTTCGGCCCAGTCGTCATGGTCAGGCACTGGGCAGGCGTGTGGACTGCAGTCGCATTGATGGAAAACCCCAAGAATTAAGAATTTCTCTGTGGTTATCCACACACATACTCCTGGGGGCTGATAAGAAACCAAGAAGGCAAAATAACCGTGTGTTATGAATTCAGAATCTTCCCAGTGATGATCCTATGAAAAGGCCATAGGAAAAAAATTTAAACTTACAGACTCCTCCTAACTTATTTCCTGGTGAAAAGGTAGGTTAATTTATAAAAACTGGCAAAGGAGATTGTGTTAAGTGAATAGTGACTGTCTGTTATTATAAAGATACTGAAAGAAGTCAGAGAGAACACAGCGATCTCAAGAGGAGGAAACTTTTAGGACATATTTGGGCAAAACTAAACGTCCCCTCCTTGGCCACATCCCAACTAAGAAGAACACCTACTCCCTCAGATATTTGAAGGTGTTGCTCTGTGACAGGGATGGGTCGCAAGGCTTCACAGGTGTAGGATTCTGTCATTTTCCTGTTTGTTTGTTTGTTTTTAATTTTCCGGCTTTTTCAGGAATCCTTTTCATGACCTGAGCAAACTGTTCATTGCAAACGGATGTGTAACAAAAGCATCCCATGGGCAATGCAGCCAACATAACACAATAATAATATTAGTGGACAGACTTCCCGTGTCACCTTCAGAATCCTCAGACTTTTAAAAGAAGCCTTTCAATTCTAATATATAATTATTTCCCATTTACTTTACCGAAGTCCTATTGATTACTCCACTCTCATTTACTCTCAATCCATTTCCTTTATCAATAAAGTTAAATTAACCTAAGTTCTTTATGTGATTCAAGATTACACAAGGTTAGAGGGCATGTTTTAAGAAGTATATCTTTTCTATTTTATTAAGCACACAACACATTAAAGACCACTGCAGGAATGATGTGTAGTTGGGTTAAAGACACTACTTTCCAAACAAACTGCTGTTCGTTTCCTTCCTCACAAAAGCGAAATTTCCCTGGGACTTCCCTGGTGGTCCAGTGGCTAAGACTCCATGCTCCCAATGCAGGGGACCTGGGTTCGATCCCTGGTCACTAGAACTATATCCTGCATGCCGCAACTAAGACCCGACACAGCCAAATAAATAAATATTAAAAAAAGGGGGGGGGGAATTTTCCCCTAGGAGCATATACATCAAGCCCACCAAAAAATTTGGAATAAACCAGACAGGAGGTGGCTGAGGTCTACCGTTCTGCATAACGATGCAAAAATGACTTGTTTAAGCAAATAAACTGTAATTAATATTGGCTTTGATAAAAATAACCATTTATTCCTTACAACTGCTTAAACACTCCCAGACGTTATACAAACTGTAATTCCAGCCATTGGAAATGACTTCAGAAACAATTTTCCTGTGTATATAAACACACACACATCTATGCCCTTATTTTTTCTTTACCCCTATATAGCTTTGCTGCAAAATGAAATGGTCTCCTTACCTGTTTACTGATTTACCACCTGTCTTTCTTTTCTAGAAGGTATGTTCCTTAAGGGGAGGCAGCTCATCTGCCTTGTTCACTAACTGACCGGATTCCACCACAGGAGCCAAGAAGCAGCTGTGGGTCGTCACGCTGCAGGGCAGTTTCTGGCTGGCCTGTGTGGGCCTCGGGGGTGGGGGCGGGCAGTGACTCAGCACCGCCGCTATTCTTCCCTGTGTGCGAGCAGGAGAAAGCAGCGCATCTCTGCAAAGGGTACCCCCATACACGCCCGCCCTTAACACCTACATGCACGTGCGACTGTATCAATTAACGAGGGCGTAACCTGCTTGCTTTGTCATCCTGCATTAGCTCTGACACCCTCCCTCCACTGCCCACTGCCTCCCCCTCTCCTTCCCCTCTACAGAGGGAAACAGCTCCTCTGAAAGTAAGGCTAATGCGAATCTGCTGACCTGCTCAACACGTTGGAAAATCCAATTA